AGAAACTATGAAGGTCCATTTGGGGTCACGAACTCTGCTGATTTGACCAAACCTGTAGCAAGATTTTTAAGGTGACCATTATATTTTTGGAGAAAAACAAGCTGCTACACCTACCCAGGTTTAAAACAAACTCCATTAGTTTCATCTAGCCAAATCAATGGTAGCCATTGTTTCTCATCAACTTTTCTACTGTTGCCTGGCAGTTGGCCAAGAAAAAAACCTGCTGCCTCTCTTATTGCATGACCGGATTTAAACAGTTTATCATTTTCCAGTGTTATCCAGCAAATACTCTGCACCTCATATTGAGAGTGTTGTCTGTAGGGAAACTAACTGCTATCCACTAAGAACAAGTACAATACATGATTTTGCTTGTAGCTTTGTCAGTCTTGAACTTTGTGACATCAGGACATCTTAGAAGCATGTTGTGGGTAACTTACAGCTGCTGACCTTCTCATGTCTAGTAACATGTTTGGTTTGAGTATTATATACCACTTTGTTACAATAACAACTTTAGTTATATACAAAATGTCCCTGATTGATAAACCCTTAGTGAACTTATCATTAAGACTTTCTCATGGTCTGTAAATTTCATACTTGGATATGCCTTCTCAGGGAAACATTGCTGTTATTCACATGTGGCTTCCCAGTGGCACAGTGGTATGTCTGCAGACATACAATGCTAAAAACATGGTTTCGATACCAATGGTGGACAGAGCACAGATAACTCATTTTGTAGCTTTGTGTTTAACTACAAACAAACAATTATTCACATGTGTGAACAGTTTTTTGGAGCCAACATTTTTTAACTTTCAACTCCATCTTCAAGGTGGAGCTTTTTTTTTCTACTGGCTTGAGTCTTCAGTGCAATTCAGCTAGACCATTTACTAGTTGCTGCTCATTGTTCGATATACAAAACTGTTCAGTTAAAGAGTTATTATTTAGTTTATTTAGTGATTTGAATTTTTTTGATGATTGTTTAATTTTCATAACAAGAATATTAAAAGTGGATTATTTTGGAAGTGACAGTTGTAAAAAATTTTATAGTGTAACTTTGTGCAAGTCATACACAAAAACTGTTCAGTTAAAGAGTTATTATTTAGTTTATTTAGTGATTTGAATTTTTTTGATGATTGTTTAATTTTCATAACAAGAATATTAAAAGTTGATTATTTTGGAAGTGACAGTTGTAAAAAATTTTATAGTGTAACTTTGTGCAAGTCATACATTGTGTATGCAGTTTAACTGTTGTACTAGACTTTCATAATATTGTTGATGTCATCTTACTCAACAATTCTAAGTTTTTCTTGTTGTGTGTAATATTGTTGTCATTAGAGGACTAGATTTTTCTGTCACGTGTTATAAATACATGCAGATACAGAGAGGAAATCAAGAAAGCAAGTTAACTGAGAGATAATTAGATAGATCTAGACTGAGTGATTGGCAATTTAGCCATGAAGGGCAATTTCCAAAGAAGTTAAGTCAGAAAATTTCAAAGTTAATGAAACTGATTGTTAGTTTAGTCATAATGGGCAATATTTTAAGTGAGTTTCACAGCTGGTATTGTAATAATAGTAGATATAAAGGAGAATAATTTGTCTTGTCAAAGGGTGTTCTAAAGTAATTGAACCCGCCTGTGTGGACTTTGACAAAAAGAAGACAGTTATTTGAAGTTCTGGATACAACTGTGGTAACTCACAGGGCAATATAAGTGAATCTATCACAGACTGCAAAGTAAGAAACAGAGTAGAGAAAAATAATTTTCCTATCAGTTGAGTTCTAAAGTACTGAACTAACATGTGTGGACTTTTGACAAGAAAAGATAATAGTGAAACAAAATTTTGTACATACTTTTGACTTGTTTTGAATATATTATTTTAAAACAAGTGGATTGTGTGCTGTCCATTTATTGTTGATATTTATTGCCAACAAGTCACAGACACCTTCTCTAAAAGAATCCCAGCCCATATTCAAAACCTAAGACTCATCTAAATGCTCAACACTGTCAAACTCTGTACTGCCCACACTCAGCATTGGGTGTTGCATCATCTGTTCATGACTCCAATTGTTCCAAGCTATCACTTGCCTGAAACACTTTAGAAAATGTTCTAGTTTCTTCTTTTTCATGTGTTTGAAAGTCATGGGCTGATTTGCTTGTTTTCTCCACCCATGGGATGTTGTAGAGAAGACAAAGCCCTCTTTCTACTTTCTTGGCTGACTCAGCTGAAGTACTACTCCTCAAAGAATTATGATTTTCTAGCTTTCAACACCTAGAGGCTTCAGCATTTGTTAGCATAGTCCAGAATATGTTATCAGGCTTGTTCAATCCAATAACAAATACTTGGATGACATTTGGAATGTTAGGTAGTCTTCCTTTCTTCTCAGGATGACTATCAGCTGAGCCAGTAGCTCTAAATTTCTATTTTATGGTGCACACTGCCCATCTGATGACTTTGGAGTCAGAAGAAAGAGCTTCCTAGCAAAAGCTTAGAATGTCTCAAGGTGTTGTGTGTTTCCTTGGTTCAGTGGCCATATCAAGACACTTGGATGTCCCTTTTATTCTGTTGGAAATCTCACATCTTCCAATTATATGCCGCTTTCTGACATTGTCTTGAAAATTAGCTTTCTGTGTTAATAGAATTAAAAAATAAGAAATTTCAAGAATAAAAAGGAACACAGATAAACATGTTAAACTTTGAAATAACAAGTCTGGTCTTGATAACAACATTATTTTTAATGATTGATCTGTGGTTTTTTCTAAGATACATTTAAAACTAATAAGAAAGTTAATAAACCAAAGTAGTAAGAACTTTGATAAGATTTGAAATACAAAGTGTAAATAAGAATGACTTTAACAACAATAAGTGACTGGGGCAAAATGTATTATAAACAAAATCACTTCACATAAAAATAAAGCTAAGGTAGCACATTAATGTCTTAAATATCTACTTTAATCACTTCACTCTTTGCTTTCAAGTGAACTTGTCGTTATAAATGGCTCTTGTATACAAGAGAATGAGCTTTAGTGGACAAACATAAGGCTATATTTTTTATACAAGTTACAACTTTTACAGTAAATAAGATTTGTATTTAGAACAGGCATAATGTTTTGATCACACCAGTGAACTGAATGTCATACCTGTTCTAAATACAAATATTACTTACTGTCACAGCTGTAACTTGTAATAAAATATACTTAATCAGTAAGTAAACTCAAAACAAAGCTATTAAAACATTAGGCTACTTGAAAAACTGCAGTTGATAAGCATCTTAGGAAATTTTAAAATTAAACTATTTAAGGTGGTAATATAGATTAAGCTCTATTGCAGCTAACTGCAATACTACATTGCCAAGTAAACCCAATTAACAGAATCAGTATTCAGTTCAAACCAGAGTTTAGAAGTTCTCTGTCTACGTTCATCCAGTGTTTCTTCATGTGACTGAAACATCTAAATGTATTCTCTGAAGTAAGCCATGGTTCATGGAATGTTTTGACCACATTAAACTGTAATTCATTTCTTTGTCATAGCTATAATATTATAAATTATACTTATCCTTTAACTGAGAATATTATGCAATATTACATGGTATTTATTTTTCATGCATTCTTCCTATGTGTTGCATACTTCTCAGTTCATTGTGCATAGCAAAATAACCTTCACATGCTTTAGATACCATTGTGAGTGAAATATGTTATTTTTGAATCAGTTAAGTAAAACTGTGATTGCTAGGTTACATTTTTTTTAATGAAATATTTTCATATGCAAAAAAATTGATCTAATTATGCACTTTATCTTCTTTGTTTATAAATTGAATATTTATGAATCAAAATTTATTGTTTCTGTAGCTGTTTGTAAAATTTAAGTTTTAAATTGAGTTTAAGTTTTTTATTAACACTTAACCAGTTTAGCTAAAATGTGAAATTTGGATTTCATTTTCAAAACATAGGATAGGAACACACTATTTAATCTTTCCAACTTTATTGCAAAACAGGCTATAGTAATAAAATTATAACAACACAATAAATCAAATATAAAGTAAGAAATAGCTCAAGCTGCTTTACTCATTATCATGTAACATATTGTATGTGCAATGTGACATTGAAATTTTAAGTGAACATGTCAAGTTCATGCTTTCCCACTGTATATTACATGACAAAATTTTGACTCTGTTATAGGTTCCAGGAGCAATGGAGCTTCCACCACTTGAAATGGATGAATATGAAAAAGAGGTATTTGAATCCCTTAGTGTCATCCCAGAACAACCTTTTCTTCCCATATCCTCTCCCCCTGTAACTGTACCCAGGTATCCTACTTTGTATGTATTCAGTTTAGTTTTATATTGTTGTGATCTTAACTATTTCTAACATGGTTTAATTACTTTGATTTATTTGAACAAGTATCAATAAATAGCTTCAACATCAAATAGCACAGGCCTGTGAATTTAAACTTTATAAAAGGTGATTTGGTTTTAATAACAGATTTTCCATCATTCAGCTACACAGATTTCAAAATAATATTCTTTTTCTCTTTTTTTTTCTATCATGTAGGATTTTTTAGAAATCGGGAAGAAAAAACTTACTTTGATCATGTTATTACTTTGTTTATCACAATGAACAATTTTTATTATTATGTTTGTTAACAAAAATACAAACAAACTGAAGAAAAGGAAAGAACATTGATATCAAACAAATATGCATCCTCATTCATCCTGATCTTTTTTTGTGAAATCTACGTCTTTTAATCTCAAAACTATATGTAGTGGTCTTTTTTTTATGTATTGCATCTGGAGCATCTTGTTTCAATGACCAGCTATAATCAGCCATCATGCTGATGTTACACCTTCCCTGATACCTCCTCTCCATTTCCCTGATATCTTGATGAAACCTTTCCTCTTGTTGTTTGCTGATGGAATTGAGATTTTCAGGGAAATAGTCAATATGTGAGTGTAAGAAATGAACTTTCAAGCTCATATTACAACCCAACTCTTTGAATTTATCAAGCATGTTACTGACATTATTTTTGTAATTTGGTACCTTTCTGTTTCCTAAAAAATTGTCAATAACATCTTTAAAGGTAATCCACACTTCTTTTTCAACTTTCCTCACTGTCCTTTCGAAGTGTTCATCCAAAGTCAATATCCTAATCTGAGGCCCAACAAAACTCCCTTCTTCGTGTTATGCTGTCCCATTCACACAAAAAACATGGAAACTTTGTATAACCAGATTGTTGAACCAGCAACACACAAAGGACTTTTAAGTCTCCACAAAGTAGCCAACCATGTTCTTTGTATTTGACCTTATTAAGAAGAAGTTTGAGATTTTTGTATGTTTCCTTCAAGTGAACTGAATAAGCAATAGGAACAGATGCATGTATGTTATCATTGTGAAGGAGAACACCTTTTAGACTTCTTTTGGTGGAATCAAAGAGCAATCGCCACTCACTTGGTTCATAGACTGCAGCTCCTAGCATTGGTATTAATTCAGCAATATTATTGTAATAAACCAGTGAACCTTCTTGTGAAAAATATGGTATAAACTCTTTGTCACAATTTCTGTACTAGTAAAATGATGTCCCCGGAGAAAGTAAGTTCTTAGCCCGAAGTCTGAATGCCAAAATCTCTGAAGAATCCTTTGGAAGGCCCAAATCTCTCACCTAATCATTAAGTTCACCTCATGTGAAAAGTTGTGGTTCACCAGACGTTTCAGGTTCAAAAACAATATCTTCATCATTTCTATTGACATCAGAATCAGATGAAACTGTATCAAGAGTCTCCGGTGGAATAGATTCAGGTACATCAGGTCTTATAGCAGATTGAAGGTTCAGATAAGAAATTTCCTTTTTATTTCAAGTGTTGTAGATTTGCTCGTTACACAAGCAAAAATAACAGTCATCTTCATGGTTTCTAGGCTCGTGCTAGACCATTGGAATTCCGAAAGGCAAAGACTTTTTATTACCTTTAGTCCATTGTCTCAACTCTTTGACACAAATGGTGTAAACTTTGTGTGAAGCCCATGACTTGTCTTGGTCCACAAGTTTTGTTTTTTGAGGAATTTTGTAACATTTTGCCTTTCTTTTTTACAACAGATTTACCACAAATATAACAGAATATGTTTGGGTCATTTAAACAACTTCTTACAAATAAATAATATTGAAAAGAAAAAAATAATGTCAAAGTGCACACACAAACAAATACTATCCACAAATGACACATCATGTGTCCTGTTAACCATTTGTATACTAGTGATGTGTTTCTCGTTGGTTCTAGAATGATCAATAAGGCTCTCATGTCACGATTGGTCTAGAGAAATCTATAGCCAGTGGTTGTCAACATTTTAAGCATAACAAAATGTGACCCAATTTCAATGAAAATGATTCACTTACTTAAAAGTACACATGACATTTTGTAAAAAACCTGTACATGATGGAGAGAAATGGTTATCATTTTCGGATTCAGCATACTGGAATTGCTGTAGAACATGTAAAAATTTCAAGACAATAAAACCATTGCAGGCCTGTGTAATTAACTATTGTAAGAAAAACCTAGGGTATCTTGAACTGATGTTTGTTTTGGCTCATATTCATATTTTAATTTCAATGAATCTTATTATTTGTACCCAGGCTTGCATTTCATTTTGGAAAAGTAGCTTGATAAATAAATAAAAATAATTCAAATATTAAAATAGTTTGCTGTTTAACTTTGAATGACCTTGATAATAAGAATCTAGAATTTAAAAAAGTAAGTTGCAAAAACATCTTCAATTATTCTTACAAGTTTTTATAGGATTTTTTAACAAATGTATGAATTAATCATAAACAATGTTTTTTGATGGATTTTTATGTTTGTCTTTTGTTTTCACCTAAGTAATTTGTAAGGTTTTTAAAATTTTGAAATAAGTTTTGTATTTTGCTCAAATCTTGGTGAAGATACTGTTTTTCTGGAATTAGAATGTCAAATTTTTTAATAGCACCAAAGAAGATGTGCAGATTCCTACAGAAGCAACTCCTGCTGTGATAACAGAGCCTTCAAAACCTACAAGACCTGTAAAACCTTCAGCACCATTAGAAGAAGGTCCTGAAGTTACACCTGCAGTTGGAGTAAAGCCTGCAAGAGTGAGAGCTAGGGTACTTAGTCATACTTCTTATCCAAGGATAGAAACAAAATTTGATGAGGCTTTGGATTACAACTGTAACTGAAAAGACTAAAATAAATATTTAAATAACATTACAACATGGTTTATTTTAAGTTATTTTACAAATGAAAGAAGTAATTCCAAACATTACATTGATAATTTACAAAAATTGTGTTTGTTATATTTTTCAACATTCATGGTTTTTTATTAAGTAAATTGGAAAGTTTATTTTTAAGATTTATTGTAGCTTTGTGCTATGCGTTGTTAAATCTTTAAAAAATAACCATTCAAGAATATAATGTAAAATTTTAAATAAAAAAACATTATTCAGTTGTTTTGTTCTTTCTCTCCCTTTTTAAGCTATTAACTTTAGATGAAGGTAAAATAATTATCACTAAGCACGGTAGTGATTAGTATGTAGGGATGGGCTAGGAAAGAAATGGTCACTGTATATTACGTATTGTTCATTATAGTCTCAAATCTCTTATAACAATCTAAGAGACTTTTATAAACACCCAACTTAGGTTTTCAAAAGCTATTAAGACCTTTGATTTAGCCAAAAAACTATCGCTAAAGTAGAGAACTGTTGAGTAGCCTAACAGCTAAATGTTCTGCTGATTATTCTGATTCTGGCATCAGAATGGCCTGATCACCAATGCTTGAAGCGTGATGAGTTACACACCAAAATGATGCATTTTAACTTAGGGAGTGCAGAAGCAGTATAATGTTTCACTAACTTCAACAGATGAAGTCCATCACACCAGCCTAAAACTGCTGCCTTCATAGTGATGCCATTCATTATGTTATATTTATTGTTTAAAAAAAACGAAGGGAAACAAATAATAAAACAAATTTTGACAAAAATAATTGGTTCAAAATTTTTGATTTAATTTAATCAATTAATATGATAATATACAGTCGTGAAAGTGCAGGGCCCTAGGTCATGGCCTTGTGTGCCCTTTGCATTAATCCAGCCCTACATCTATATTTAATGTGATTATTACTTTTGTATTTCTTAGTAGGAAGCTATTGTAAAATTCTGATATACATAAAACTTCATTTTAGAACAATTTATACAATACATAAACATAATAATGTTTTAGAACATCCGTAGATTTTTTAAAGATTATTATGAATTAATGAAATTTACATTTTAAAGTTCAAAATGTATTTTTAACATTTTATCTGATATGAACAAACATTCATGAAAAATTCTACATTTCATATAAAAACATTTCTTAATTGTAGCTTTGATTCTTTGAAAACTGCTTTAGCTTAGAATATTATTTGTTATTTCTTAAGAAACCTTTCAATTATTAATTTCTCATTCATTGATTTATTCCAAATACTTATGTAATAATCTTCTTATTTATTACTGATTTTAGAAACGTAGAGAACCTTCTAGTGAGTTTGAACTGGAGGAACTGGAACCAGTTGTCCAAAGACCTAAGCGACCACGACGACGTCTGTATGATTTGAACATCACAATCTCTAGAGAAGAAATGCGTTCAGGAATGGCCACAGCAAATGAAAGGCTTACTCATCCTATTGTATGTTAATTAGTCATAGGTTTTTGGTAATAACATCTGCTTAAAAATTAAATTTTACATATATATTATTTGGCAAACACATAATATTCAAATCACAAGAAAGGATCCAATCTAGCTTCATTTAATTTAGTTTATTTGTTTTTGTTGTACTGCAGGATGACTGAGAGTAAATTATAATTAGTACAGTGTATTTTCATACTTTGTTAGATAACTTGTGTAAGGTTGATGTTTGGTTCTAAATTAGAATTTAACATTTAATCATCACCTTACATTTCTATTAGATAACTGTTTTATTTATAGTTGGATTGTTAAATAAGTTTAGTAGTGACTTTACAATCTTTGATAATAATACAAGAATGAATGCCTTGGCCTTACAACCCCTTCACCCTCACCCTACATGATGTCGTTATATACGGACTGCTGTTTTTGTAAGATATTTTTGTGCAATACACACTGAAATCACTATTGTCCCTTTTTTTACATGCCTTCATGAACTGTGAATAATGACATCAAAGATACATAAGTCAATGGGAAATGTCTGTGAATGGTATGGTATGAATTTCCATCTTTACTTGCATTTTACAGAGAAACTGGCATGTTGACTTATAGATGTGTGGCTGGAGAAATATAGAATTTTCATGTGGTTTAGTTTGATAGCATGCAGAGATCATTCTGGACATTTTCTCAACTCTCTAGATGTTTAAATTATTATTACAGTTGGAACTACATTACATTCTATGGAAAACTTTCTTGACATGCTCTGTACCATATTTGAAATATTTTATCACTGGTAGAACCATAATAAATTTCCAGACTTTTGCAGAAACTTGAGAAATATGTGTTGCTTTTGCAGTCCTACGTCTGTGTGAATTATCTTGTTTAATGTTCCTTTTTTAGCTGCAATGGGTCATTCTGTTCTTGGGTCACTTCTAGTATGTAAATGGTAACTGTTCTTCACGTAGCTTGTTTTTCACAGCTTGAATTAAGATTTCCTTTGCTTTACCCTTATAGTTCAGCATTACAGATATATCTTGTTTTGAAATGCTAAATTTTTGGACCTCAAATTACCACAATTCAACTGAATTGCATCAGGAAGGTCAGGCCTTTTAACTTGTATAGTTGACAAACCATGGGGATGGCCAAGGGAAGCTGATTGGATTTGCAAATTGTTACCAAAGGTGATGAGAAATCCTTTGTAATTCTAAATAATAACTCAAGAAAGAAACCATTACAATAAATATGATCTTAGAATATTATTCAATTGTAGATTTTTGCTTTAAATATTAATGATAAAAATATAAATTACTTTATTTTCAAGGAACTACCTCTTCTTCAAGAAACACCTCAAGAAATGTTTGCTCGTCCTGGTTCTTGTAAGGTTTTTTCTTTAACTTCATTTTAAAGCCACTGTTACATTTTATAGATTTGTAACTGTAAAGACAGGTGTAAAAAATCCTGTTTTTAATGTATTGTTACCTTATTAGTGACATATTTGTCTATTTTACCGCAATGTTCTTTTAATTACTAGTTTTTATATGGCAACAGTATATAAAGAAATAATTTCAATTTACATAAAATTATGGTAATAACTTTTGTAAGTGTTGTAATCAATAAATCAAGCCAGAGTTGGTCAGAAGGTGTTTTTTCATTAGTAAGGTAGTAGTAGTCTCATATTTCTAATATAGAGGCTACTTTGTAAAGTTTTTAAGATTTGTGTTCATTATGTTTATTTTGGTTCACTTCTTTCTTCTTTCAAAACTGTATATATGTGTCATTGGATCAAATAAGCTTCATGTTTATAGTTCTTTACAAAGTTGCAACTCCATTAACCCTGTGTTTATTGCAGGATCAAATTGTGCATGTCACAATGTTTTACAGAGTTACATTCAAAATTAAATAAATAAATTTATTTTTAATCTATGTCAATAAGCTTGGCATAAAAATGTAGTTTATAATTCAATTTTTCATATTATTTAAATTTGAATTTATTAATTTAAAAAGGAAATATTTAAATAGATTTTCCAGCTTATTGTGCCTTTCCCTCCTGTATCATTCTGTCTTTCAAAAAAATACTAACAATTCTTGCCAACATTGGTATTGGATTATTTACAACTAATGAAAAGAGCACATTTTTCTACAAGATTCTTATATGGGGTATTTTGTTTTGCTTTTCATAAGTAGATATTTGGTTTAAATTTCATTGTTTGAGATTGTGATATTCAGCTTAAAGCAGCTAATAAAATTTTTCAACCTATTTATAACTTAATTAGAAAACTATTAATTATAATAGTTTTGGGACATTCTATTTTAGTGCCTTATACATTTTTTTTGTGTTTTAAAATGCATATTTGAAATAAACATGAATTATTATGTGGACAACAAACATTATCACAAAAAAGTAGTCCTAGTGTGTCTTATCTTCAATGGTAAAAGGCCCAAGTCCAAATGCAAGTACTAAATTTCTTATTTTTTATGTATATTTTATATTGTTATAAAAATAACCAAAATGTAAAAAAAAAGTGAAACTTGTTAGGTTAGCTGAGAAAACTTTAAATAAAAAAGATATTTTTTCATAATACTCAAGGTAACCATGTTCACATAGTGTGACATGATTGTACTTTGATTGTATGTTTGCACAAAGATGTTTTAGCATACTCTGAGACTAAGTACGGCTGTAAAGCAATAAAAATATATAAAACTAGATGTAATAAAGTAAAGTTTTATTGAACAAAACTTTTGATGTTAATTTAGAAAATTCTACAGGTTATGAATATTAAATACGAAAACTTTAAGATGAAAAGAAGTATTTTTATTGTTTCTATAAAAATTGCCTTTCACTCAGATTAACTCAATAAAGGGTTTAGAAATTCAGACAAATCTTTAACACAAATACTTTATTGAAAATTCTGATCTTCTGTGTACAACAAACTTTTAATGTTACCAAATGTCTTGAAGATACACATAGTAATTTCAGAAGTATAGTAAACATTAATTCTCCAGTATGGCATTGATCTATTGGACTAATACTGTAAACAGTATTAAGAGATTGAACAACTTAAATAATTTATTTAGCTCTCCTGGTTTTCTTTGTTTCAGTGTCGATCAAATAAGTACTGAACATTGTTTTCCAAACATTGCATGAAGCAACAAGCTTATTTATCATTTGTGTTTGCAATGAAAGAGATACAATCTTCAGTGCTTTTTAAAATATAAAGTACATTGAAATATAAAAAAAACATTCTCATTTCACAAAAGGTATGCATATTTCTATATTTCTTCATTTAGTTTTGCTTATGAACTTTTGTTTAACTTTCATTCAACAATGCAGATATAGGTTCTGAAATACTCCTTCGTTTCTGGAAAAACTTAAAAACTCAAACTGAGTCCAAAGACCCTGCTGCTCCAGGGACATACATTGTCAGAGAGGAGAGCTCTCCCAGTGAAGGTATTTTTTAATTGCTCTTGAAATTTCAATCGTTCATTAAATCAAATTGTTTGAAACTGGGATAATTATAAATACACTTACGTATGATATGTGATTTTATAAATTCTATGTGCATGTGTGCAGGTCAAAGTGCACATGCTACAACCTTCTAAAGAAGTAGAGAGTAAAATACCAGATAAAACATACTGTGATACTGAATAAAACTGTACACTTCTGCATTTCACAGGTTCTAGAGTTTATTCAATATGTAAACTGTACGATGGAGAAAGTATTTTTATTATTCATATGAATATCAACTTGCACTCCAACTTGTTAGAGTCTGAATCAGATGGATCAGACTGATGTCATCAATTTATAGACATATCTATAAATACTTTTGTAACACATAGAGTTATTTTATACAACAGACTTGTACATTTTACTAAAATTTACTTACCAAAATCTCTGTAAAAACATGTAGTTAATTCAGAATTATAGTCAATATTTCTAGTTGCATTATTAACTTGCAGTAAGAAATTTAATGGGTTTCAAGATGTATCTGTTGAATAATGGCTAAATAAAAAAAATACTGTAAACTAATCTGCAGTGAGGGAAATAATCAAAATTATTTGACATAATGATTAATGAATTGGGTGATTAGTGGAAGTGCTAATCAATTAATTTTTGGGCATATTAATCAGTTACAATCAATTAATTAATTATTCTCACACGAGATTAATCTTCCTATTTTCAGCTAGTTTGGGTGTTTTTTTAAGTCATTTTGGAACTACCTTTAGTTTAATATGATATACATCTTCTGGTGGCCCCCATTTGGTATAAAAATATTTTTTGTTTTAAAATTATTTTGAGAAAATCTTTTAGCTCAAATCCTTTTCAAAAGATAATTGAACATTTCCTAACTGGCAAATCATTAATGTTGGGATCGTACTGTCATCATTTTGTTGGATTTTAAAATATGCTGTAAACCCCATTGATTTTGTGTAAAGTGTCACATAAATTGATAATAAAATAATGAAAAATGATAATGCTAATAAGTTTTCATTTTAAAAAATATTACAATTGCAATTTTAAATAATTAAGTAGCCAGTTAGCCATTTTATTTAAGAAACTATAAAAAACTTTCCATTTATGTAATTTTTAAACTTTTGAATACCTATTGAATACCTTTGGTCAATGCTATAAGAGCTCCAACTAGAAAATTTACAACAAAACCTTAAACTGTTGTGCAGACCACTTAGTTTACACTACTATGACATGAAAAGTCTCACTCTTGCTCTATCCAACCACATTTAGCAAATGATCATAAAAGGGTGGCAATCAAAAGTCTGTACAAGTTTTAAGCAGAAAAAGATGAGAAATGCTTGAAATTTTAAGAAAGGATAATATGTTTTCAAGGGTTGATAATTTATTAGTAAAAATACAGCTATTCTTTAGGATAGGCAGAAAAATCCTAAAATAATAGACAAGTGCATTGTTTACAGGCGAAACTCCTCGGAGCTGTGCAGAAATGCAATTTTGAACATTAGTCTATGTTTCTTCAAGAATTGCACTAAATAAATGCTGAAAAATGATAAAATATAGATTCTTAAATATTTTTGAACAGAAATTGCTGAAATAAAGTTAAATTACAATTAGAAATGCATAGCTCAAAAAATGTAGAATGTCAAAAAAGTTCATTTGGTGAGAGTGATGGTTGAAAAAATATGAAAAGCCAGAGGAAACCCTGCCTTCAAGTGTAATAATTTAGGATTAAATTACTTTTCTAATCTTAAACTCTTGTACTTTAAATTCTATCATACATACAGTATAGTACATAACTTATAACAAGCTAAATAAATGATTGTTGATGAAATAAAGATTACTTCCTGATGTTAATTATAAATCAGAAAATACTAAACTGACTAGTGTGAGTAATAGTGAGAACAGGATAACATGAGATAAATAATAAGAACAGATAAACATATGTGTGCTTTTAGCAAACATGCATTGTTTTCTTTCCTTCTTATAACATATTCACTTCCAATATGGCCCTTTGGTAATAAGTTGAAGTCCTTGTCTGAATAAACTTCAAATCAAAATACATTAAGGAGTTTGTAATTGTAGTTGATTTATGTAAAATTGGTATATGAATATACCATATTTTCAACTTTCTTGTAATATTGTATTTATTCTAAATGACCCCCCCCCCCTGTGGTGGGCAGAGCACAGATAGCTCATTGTGTAGCTTTGTGCTTAACTTCAAAGAAACAAACATTATTCTGAATATATAAATTATTCTGTATATGTGCAGGTTTTACATAATGTTTCCAAGAAAGCTATTAAGTTTATTTTGTTCTAGCTATTTTTATTCTTGAGTAGATAATACCTGTCCTGCCCATGGAGGGTATTGCTGCAATACTGCACATTGTGCAAGGATGTCAACATCACTATCTTTCAATAGAAGTTCAGGTGATATTTCGAGGTTGTGACCTCACCTAGTTCAAATAATAATGACCAATCACATGGATAGTTCTAATTGCTCTGGTAAAATACAATGTTTCTTGTGAACTAAGGAATACTGGATTTAGTCAGTACAGTACATGGATTCAGCTTAAACAGTTGAAAATAAAAGATCCCATAGAAACCATTATCCCATATCAATAGCATATACACTGTATTTGTTATTAGTTGATTATAATAAAGGTTGCTCACTTCATGTTTCACTTTGTGTCCAGTCTCTTCATTTCATCCTTTTTTTTTCAACACAGTTTTTCCAAAAAATGGTACAAAAACACATACAAGTTGATATAATTTGATAGTGTTTATCCCTTGAATATATTTTCTTAAAATGATTTTTGATGTGGGTTAGTGGAATACTGCTTTAGGTGCTTGTCTGACTTACCTGTGTAGTATTTAATTATTCTTGATTTCATCCTTGTCCTGTGCAGATTCATCCCATAATATTATTTTTATTTGCAGAAAAGTTTAAGTGGTTTTTTACTAGGTAGTTTCAATATTCAGTTAAAGACTTCTTTGATGTCTGAAATAATTTTGTTAACTTCAAGACGTTTCTGGAGCCTGTGTGTTTTGTGGATACTTGTAACTATCTAATGCAAATATGAAAACCACATGGTCTTCCATAACTTGGGGTCTATGTCTCCAGTGAAATTACTGAAGATTAATTTTGCTCCAACAGCTTAGTTGAAGTTAATTAAACCTTATTTCCAGTAATCCAACTTCATTCAGAAACATAATGTGTGTAATACCCAAGTGATGTCACATGGACTCACTATGGAGCTCCTTCACCATACTTATGAGCTTTAAATTCTAGTGAGTAAATAGTATTTTCTACTAAGTCATAGTTTCTGTGCAACACTGGCTTACAGCTACAGCATTTATTGGGTTCCAGGTTCTAAATGACATTTAGCATCAGACCATCTACACTGAGTGGCAGATGTTGTATTTTCCAATCCTTATTTGAGGAATTCTAATTATTTGCCTGACAAAGCCACTAAAGGAAGTGATCTAAATCTTCCTTTGCTTAACCTCTGAAGATTGGAGGTGAGATCTGTTTCATCTTACAACCTGTCAATTGTAGCAACAACAGCTTTCTGTCATTTATGTCATTCAGCATGAATGGCTACAGAGCCAGTGTTAACATGGATATTGGCTTTCTAGCAACTGGATCCCAAATATTCTGCTAAACCTCAAAACTTTCACCATGTTCACTAAAGTGAGATTCTACTGTAGCATCTACTTACCAAAGTCACTTGAACATGATATTCTTTTTGGCACCTGGCATCAGAATTTCTCTCATTATGAGGAAAGGCTCCAGGCTGATTCATATTGCATCATACACAGGACATGATAGCAACCACGCTGCAAGGAAATGAATAGGGTAAGGTTGACAGACTTTGTTTGCTCACTGCAGCTTATTTCTAGCTGCTTTAAAAGAGATCATCCAGTGAGAGACTTTAGGAATATTGGATGCTGGCCTTTGTGACTCGCTATCTCCGGTTGGTGATTTTTCCACCATTGTTTTGTAGCTCAACTGATCTGTACAATAATGACTGACATTGTCATCATGGTGGGTGGTAAGAGCATTATGTTCTGGAAGACCTGCTGAATTATTGGAAAGCTTTAAGAATTTAGTAGAAAACTTCTGTGGGTCATCCGGGGGCTCTCCTCCTCATTGCCATAGGTCTTGCCAGATTACATTGGCATTTTTTGGTCATTATCTCTCAGATAAATAATTTTGAAGAATCAATGGCAGAGATCAATTACCATTTCCACAGTGACTAGATGCTGGTTGATGGTAACACATTGCCTTTTTTGAGGTATGCTCTAATATTCCAAAGATAAACCTAGCATTCAATTACCTGATTTTTCCCAATAAATGGAAATTTGAAAACCATGTATGTATAAGGGCAGGTATAGCAATCTGATGCAGGTAGAATGAAAGAGACAAGGTACAATGAAATGGAAACAAACAATTTATTCACTAAAGGTGAACAAAAGAATGACTGATCATCTGATGATAGACCATTGCATTGTAGTTAAAGGAAAACTTCATGAATGAACTTTACTTTAAAAATAATCTAGAAATTGTTTAGTTGACATTAATTAAAAAGAACATGATCGTCAAGTCATGAAATACACAGGAAACAAAGACAAGACTTACAAACAAGTATTGGCTCTTTCAGATCAAAAACATATCTGTTTAAAAATTTTACAACTAAATTTATGATTCAACTTCTCTATTTAATTGATCAACCAGAAAACTGAATTAAAATAATCCTGATGTATCAGCTCTAATACAACTATCCCATGAAACAACATAACTTCTGTGATTGAACCCTGATAAAGAAAGTAACACTTAAAGCTGAATTAACACACAGTCTTGAACAGGTTTAAGCATGTTATGAATTAGAGCTTTAACAAATATATAAACTTTGTGGAGAGTGAGATATATGGTTTATGCATGTATTCTTTGTGTATCTTATTTTTTCCTGTAGCGCTTATTCCAAGGCTTTAGTGTAAAAACTTGTTATGTCGTAAAACCTTTCTTTCAATTCCTAAAAGTAGAAAGCTGTAGTACCATAAAACCTTAGTTACACCCCATTTTGCTGTATGTATAGCTATAGTCAACCTATCTTAATAATACCTTAATAGGTAGTGATAATAATTGTAGTCATGTATTTCTCTCATGCACTTTGAGCCATCCTGTTTACTCTTTCAAGTTACTTGAAAATAAAATCTGACACCAGTATCTTGTGTTCATTTATACTTTTTTTAAATGTATGTAAAACAGGCATCTATGTAGGCATTGTTAAAAAAAGTATAATTTGTTAAAAGTTTTGTTTAAGAATTTTTTTATAAAATAATAATTATAGTGCATCTATAATTAATTTCAAAAACAAATAATGAAAAATTGGTGGGTTCAAATTAATAATGCATGTATTAAAGAACCTTTTTATTAAAGTAAAGTACCCTTGATTTTTCTGCATATATCAGTATCTGCATGCACATATGAAGTTTTTATTTCTTGTTTAATGAGGTCATAAATTTACTTTTATTGTGTGGGTGAAATTTTTTTAGTCATGCTAATAATGTTCTTTCAACTGTAGAATCAGAACAAGGGATTCCAAGAGCAGAAGAGCCCACTGGTTTGAAAGAACCAGCCATCTCTTTGGAGGAGGTGTGTAATTTCAGTTATTACACTATTGATATGCAATTAATGCATTTAGTTTGTCTCAGAAAAAAATATTGGTATTAAAAAGCAATACCCAAAATTATTAATTGATTGTTTTGGAAGCACTGAAATAATACTAAAAAAAGAACTTTAAATAATTGGATTGTTTGGCAACATTGAACAGTTATTGACTGGTTAAGAGGGCAACACCTGATTTTGTTGTCTGGGAACGTGAGAGTAAGCAGTTTCTTTTTTTAGAGGTTATATGCTGAAGGGAAAAAAAGATACTGGCCACTTTCACTCCAAAGGACAACAAATGATCTGTTCCCCCAAATCACCAGTTCATAACTGTTTTGTTTCACCACCTTCTTTCTTACTAAAACCTGATTAATTAGTGCTGTTACACAGTATATTTAACCTACATGCCTGAACCTATGTATAAATCTTAGTTTAACATTTCATTGGGGATTTTGATTTAATTTTCAGAATCAATAAGATTTAAAAATTGTTTAATTTCCAAAATATAACAGCTCGTCTTCATGTGATTATACCAATAGATGTATAAAGTATGCACTTCTATAACTTCTGCTCAAAATTTGTCTGGAATGCTGGCACAATTTCCAATGTTTGTAAATTAGACCTAAATGAATAAGTGTTTACATTGTGCTGCAAAAAATTTTCATCTGCAAAGTCCAGATGACCAAACTACTCTGCAGATCTTCATGTGTGAGAAACTGAAATCTTATGCCATGTCCAGATTCATTTTACAGGTTTGAGTAAATTTTTTATAACTAGGACTAAATGAATCAACGTATTTTCACAATACTGCAAAAAATTGTTGCCTGCAGAGTTCTGCTACAATGTCTCACACACACATCAACAGTCTTGACAACCAAGCAAAATTGATATGATTTGTTGCCCAAGACAACATGAAAAATATATCATATCATGTGATGTTCTCTTGGCCAATCTTGGCAAAGAATTCATTTGAGGGGTAGAATGAAGTTTGTTAAGAAACAATTTTAAGATCTTAAGCTTAGTCTGATTGGGTATGAAGATAATGAAAGGTTCCATATGGCTAGACAACTCATTCATTACAGTTTTATTCACTAGCTATTAGTACTCTTATCATTACTACTAAAGTTTTAAAGAGCCACATTGTATTTATGATAATTTATAATATTCAGCAAAACGAAGGGAAAAAAATGCTATTGAAAAGAGTACTTTTCTATATAAAGTAAATACTTGTGCCACTAAGCAAATAGTCTTTGAAAATCCATATTCTTTGTTACTTAGTGACTGTTCAAGAATTAATTCAACCCATATATGAAGCAAAAAAATATTGTACATTTTGTTTATCAAGGATCTTTAAAATGTGTAAGCCATTTAATTAAAATTAAAAATATTGTTACGT